TGTTCACTTTTTTTTTTAAGTGTAAAATGACAGAACGAAATGAGGAAATTATAGACGAAATAACGACAAAGCAAAATAACAACAAATCGAAATAATGACAAAACAAAATAAGGACGAAACAATGTTCATAGCAATGTAAAGTTGAAGGAACGACAAAACAATGAGCAAAAATTAATGTGACAGTCATGCTCCAGTGTTGCCTGTGCTCAAAATATAATACAATGTCAAGTTTTTACCTCGAATGTTTACACTCAGTAAACATGTCAATCTCATCAACAAAATATTAACTACGGACTGTAGCTTTAGTCACACCTCATTGACTTTCCTATTTAACCATGGACAAAATGTCAAATGCTATTCTAAGCCTCATATCAGCAATATTGGCTTGTGAGAAAGCAAATGGAGGGAAGTGACCTCTTGCAAGCAAAGATGCAAAACCTAACATAAAAACACCACAACTACAAGGATCCTCTTGAGCAGGAATCCCATCTACTGATGTATCAAAGGAGGATGTAGGCCCGTTCACAGGATATCTTTTGCGAAGATTGTGTCGATGAAACTCCGCTTCGAAAAAATCTTCCAAACGTTCAAGGACTGAAACATAGTCAGCACGAGAGAGAGAGTCTATGAGGTGGAATTTACAGTTCGGGCCGTCTATGCTGACATAATCTAACGCCCAGTGATTTCCAAATGAAGAGGGATAATCACCAAGTCATAATAAAAAAGATTTGTGTCCATCACCTATTTCATCCCTTAGGAATATGCGGTTTCAAACCTCAAAGGACCTGACAATCGAGTGAAGAAAAAAGAATTGAAAATGTACACAAAAGGAACTCTATCTCTTGTCACTTCTGTACATACCGAATCAACCTAGATGTGACCATTGGTGATCTGGACGGCTAGCATGTACAAATTGATAACCTCGTCATTTAGCCATTTCCCATCCTCGACGACGACCATGATGTCTTCCTTTCCCACCTTCCAGCTCCCCTTGTAATCGACAATGCCGTATGCTTCATTGTCTTCACTGCTGCCTGTAATCATGTCAAGATACTCCTTTTCTTCTATGGTGATGCGTTTTGTTGCTAAAGGAATCTGAAACGAAGGGTCATGAACTGCATGCAAACACACAATGCCATATAAACAACAATGGAACGACTAAGGCTTCATACAAAAATAAACTTTTCTTTTTGTGATGTACGACGTAGACCCGTGTTCATGTTTTTGGTTGTCTATCTGTTTCGCTATCAGAGCTACCATCCACAATAAATAAACTGCAACCTTCACGATGCAATTTCTTCCCTTCTCTGAGGCTTATTCCAACAGTTTTAAACATCCTTAGGGCAGCTGGCTTCATAGATGGAAATGTCATGGGTGTAAGTCTTCTTGTCTTTTTTTTGGGTAATAACGACAAAGTCGATAAGGCTTGCAAGCCACGACGAATAATATTCTTCTCACTCTGCCTTTGCGAACGTACGTGCGTCGTTTTCCACAGTTCTTTTCGTCGCCCTGCATGTTCAACAATATAAAACGACAATGATTGACAAGACAAAACATTATGAGTTTAAGTTCAATTTCCCACATAATCGCAAATAAGAGATACACAATATTCTACTTCATTTCTTCTCATGACCGAGTGCACGGTTGCAAACCTAGGCAAAAAAATAGTTCCTATGAGATGAGTGCATGTACCCCCTAATCCTTATACAGTATTAGATATTCCCTTAGAGATAAGTACGTGCTCACTCGGTGACTCACTAACGCTTTGTCTTCAACACGACCTTTTATCGCACCATGCGATGGTGTAAAATGAGATTCGTCGATAGATATAACGAGGTTAGCAGACTGTTGTGCTTCTGATTTTGCAACCATAAGTTTAAGCTGTACAAGCGTATGTTGCTCCCGTGTACTTAGTACTATATGTCCTTCGTCCTCTTCGATGGCCTGTACATTGGCAGTTTCGTTTGCACCTGCAGTCGCGCTTTCGTTCTTCATGTCCAGAGAGACTTCATGCTCATCTTTCTCAGCTGGCATATCCAATGGCATCTCTAATTCTGCAAGTGCACCAGTATTATCCACTTGCGCAGTAACACTCTCGCTCGCCAACACAGTGGTCGCCCAAACTTGGTCATCCGGAAGGACGTCCTCGACACATTTCGGCAGTTCTCCATGACTTACGCCCTTGACACTTGCACCGCCGCTTCCTCCCAAATCCTGACCACTCGCATCGCCTCTCGATCCCCTGCCATGTGCACCGCCGCTTGGTCCTAATACCAGAGGCGAACCCGATCCCCTGCAATGTGCACCGCTGCTTGGTCATAATCCCAGAGGCGAACCCGATCCCTTGTCATGTGCACCGCCGCTTGGTCCTGATACCTTTCCCTCTGTTGCTTGACGCCCTTGACACATTTCGTGTTTTTGCAGTTCACCATGACTTATTGGCTTTCCACTTGCACCGACGCTCGGTCGCAGGCCCTTGCCACTGACACTGCCCCGTGGTTCCGATCCCTTGCCATGTTCACCACCACTTGATCTTGTTCCACCACTTGATCTTGTTCCCTTGCCAAGCGCACCACCACCTGATCCTGATCCCTTGCCACTCTCATCGCCGCTCGTTCCTTTCCTTTCCCCAACTTTGTCTTTAAGTTCCGCTTCGATACGCCAATTATATCCAAAAGCTGGACTTATTTCTCGATCATAGAACTCTTCCAGATACTCAAGTCATCGAGATGTTTTGAACTCCTGAAAGATGACGTCTGTCCTTGCATTCAGTCTTGATTGAGAAACCTTCGGATTAAGTCGCAGTAGTCGCTTGCCAATCTCATTTTTGGCGTGTGTGACAAACCTGGATCATGACATACGTCTGTGGAGGCAAAATTGCCACTCCCCTTCTTCTTTTATAGCCATTACCCAGTTCCCTCTCGCCAATGCAGGTTGAAAGTGGTGGGGGTGCCATATAATGTGATGACCCCATACGTTGTCAGGCATCACCGTGTAATCGTCTCGACACACAACATGTCCAGGAAGCCGTGCAATGTCCGGACGAATGATGTCTTCAATCTCGTACTCCAAAGGCTCAGATGGAGGTGGTTGAGGAGTTTGAGAGCGTAGCAATTCCAAAACAGTAGTCGGGCTATGTGCAAGTGCTGACAGACTTGCCATAACCTCTGGGTAGAGAGTTGCCTGCAACCTTGGATCATTCCGAACTGCGCTGGAAGATAGCGCTAAACTGGTCCGTTGTAACTGCTATACTCGAAGTCCCCCCGGAACTGGACGATGTGCCCGGCGCACCCATCTTCTGCAAAGCCGAGCTACAAACTTTTTTCCTCTCATCTGCCAAAGCCGCTTGCAAAGTACCATCTTCACTTTCTTCCTCTGAGTCCTCAATATCGAAGCCTTCCCCAAAACAAGTTGCATAAGCTGCTGTTGTAAGCGCCCCGATTTGTTCGTCGAAGTACATCATCTCCAAACGGTCTAGAAATGCAACTTTCGTCTTCGGCGGTGCTTTATGATACCCCCTCAGAAGTGATTCAATTTTTCGCCTTCTGACGACATATGCACGTTCCCCTCTGTTTTGTGGCTTAGTCTAAAAAAGAAACTCCCAAATGTTGACAATGTTTTGGCCGACTTTGTAGACGAGATCATGCTTTTCATCATGTCGAGGAGGCGGCTTAACAAAGTTGGCGAAGTAAAGTCCACTCTTGACCATCTTGGTGACGAATTGAACGACAGACTCGAACTTCATACCCTCCCCTTCCAGAACAATGCAATGACGGTGACTCTTTAACAACTCCCAAATCAACGCCGCATGGCATTTTCCCAGGAAAACAACCGCCTCATCAGCAGGACAAAAATGCTCCAATGTCTCCACCATCGCATTTGGCTCCCTTTCCATACCTTCGTACACCGGTTTCTCTTTTGGTTCCATACCTGCCATTTTCAACTTCGTGGGCGTGAAGTTCTTCTCCACGACATCAACCAACATCTTTGGCCTTCTCTCTCTGCGCACAAGTGCTGATAAGTCACCCGCCTGCTCGCCAGATGATCGATCTGCAGCTGGAGTGCTTGTTGGAATGTCTTCAAGCAAGGGAATAGTGTTGCGGTGATAATCCCCATCGTTGGAGTACATGATGACAACCATTCTGTCTGTGTCCTCCAAAGGCAAGTTCGCAACCTTATATAAATGCTTCACCTTCGTTTGTTGCTGACGAGTCCACTTTAGAATAGACAAGTGAATGTCAATCTCCCAACTTGTAACTCGCTTGAAAAATGTATACTCGCAAGACCGCGGAACGAAGCACAATAATGTCCAATAATCACCAGCCAATTTTCCCATGAATTTCCGCGGACCATCAAAGACTTTTTCAGTCCACACCCCTATCTGGGTTGGGTGACACAAATTCAGCACGGCCGTGTGGCAACTCAGATGTTTGACGACTCTGTATATTTCCTTGGAATCCATCTCGTTTGAAATATCGCTTGGTTCCCGTTGGAATGGGACGAAAACAGAGTTCACGTTCTGTCTTTTGAAATGTATATATTACGCCGAGCCCGACATTCTTATGCTTTCCGAACCCCTGGTTTCTGATCTGCGCAGCAGCTTGTTGACAAACTGCACGAACTCTTCTGGGCACTTCGCAGCAAGTGACGCTGTTTTCTTGAAGCCCTCTTCTCCTTTTTCCTCCTCTCCTCCAAGTGTAGCCGGGAACGTTCGCACCCAACTCATGTGTTTGAAATGGCGACTCTGGTCAATCCACCTCTCGGACGTCAATCCTTCATCAGAGTACTTATCAAACAAATCGGAAAGGTTGTTGAAGAATGGTTCCGTTCACTCTGACGACTTCCTGTGAGGGTCAGAAATGAAGACGAAGTAGTGAAACATCCTCAACATTGCTCTTTCAATCTTCACCATTTCCACATATGTTTCCGTTGAATGTTTCCCGGCACGTTCAGCAGCTCCACTTCGCTTAGGAGTCAGTATCACACTGCCTGTGAGAATGTCTCGCAACAGTTGCAGCCGCTCACGCCTCCCAAGCGCTGAAAAAGGCTTTCACGCTCTGATATCCGGATGGTGCACAGCCATTAGGTAACCAGGTCCTTTGGTACCCTGAACCCAGTGAACCGGATACCTAACTCCACCTTTCAACTCAAATCCGGATCCAGCCCTCGGTGCCTTCCCTGATTCACCTTGTTTGGTAGCAGGCTTCACAGCATCTCTCCCCGGCAATTGTCTAGCTTCCCAAGCAGCGTACAATTGTTTCACCTTTTCGAAAACGTCATCTGTCGCCCTTGCCAACAACATGTAGGGCCCGAGGGCGTCAGACCACTGGCCGCTCCATTGAGTAGTAAGGGACATGTCAATCAAATTACGAATCCCGGTCAAACGAAGAGCCTCTCCTGCAAACTTTCTATACTCTGCATTTTTCACTTCTGCCGCTGAGCCGCCTTTAGCTTCAGGACAGTTCGACTCATGCCACAACTTCCGTATGTTCTGGATRACCACGATCTGGTGYGGTGGRKTATTCCATTTGTCCTTGGCGTTCTGGAAAGTGCTCAGCGTGCCGTAATTGTCCATGCTCTTATCCGGATAATAAATAGGCCTCGCAGTCCAGCGATCCAATCGGAGCTCTTGTGCGATGTCAGGGCGTTCAACAAAACACCTTCTTGCCTCCGCCACGTTATGCTGACCGCTGAGAGGGTAATAGTAGTAATTGTTCACAGATTCGAGGTCGAAATCATCAAGCAACACCCTCCTTGCTCTTACAATCCTCCCTGAAGCGTCAGTATGCAATGTATCACGGAGGGCAACCAACAAAAGGACAGGCTTCTCATACAATGTACAAACATTCACACCGGCAGCTCCAGTCATTCTCTCTCTCATAGCAGCCTCACCCGATGCAACCATTGCGTCATAAATGTCGTCAACCGTCTGCTGCACAAGATAGCGTTGATTGTATTTGAATTCCCCGTCGGGGATATCCAGAAAAATTCGGTTGAACTGGACAGAAATGAATTTCATGTCTGGACATTGGTTCCCACGCTCGTCCAACTCAAGGAAGCCTTTGCTGAGAACACCAGAAGAAGTCGTTGATGGCACATTCCTCAAACTTGGCGGCCTAGTAACTGTCTTGCCTTTGGCCTCTTTATTCGATTGTGGTTGTTCCGCTGGAAAAACGGAAGTATTTTCCATGACACCACCTTTTGCCTTTCTTTTCTTTGGCTGCTGCTTTTTCTTCGCGGCTGCCTCAGTCTCCCGTGTCCTCTGGACCGCCTCATCCACGGGCATTATTTTCAATTGTCTTTTTTCACCCGCTTCTTGCCTACTCCGTTTACTATCCATAAGACTTTTCCTCTCCCGCCCGTGCTTCCTCTTTCCCTCATCGAGCCCTGCAGCATCTGTATGCCCAGCCACAGCCACTGTCGCGTGCACATCCCCCTCACATCCTTCGTAGCTGCTCCCATATCCTCCTGCCAGACCAACCTCCCCACCCAATTTGCTCATAGTGTGCTCACTGTCTTCATCCTGTCCAACCACTTTACTTGTCTCTCCTGGATGCCTCGTCATGCCGCCGCCACCCGCAACATACTGTTCCTGTCCTCCTGCTCGTTCCGAATATTCCTCGCTGTTCTCTTCATCCTCATCTTCAAAATACTCATGGGCTTCCTCTGCGCGGCTTGGCACAGTGTAGTCATAGTGCTGCTGGCCCACCAAGGGGAGATGTCCCTTGGTGGCCACATCATAGCACGATCGGCTGCCCAAGGCAATTGGTGCTTTGGTCGCCGTTGGCCTGGTTTTCATAGGGGCTGACGGTACGACCAGTCCGCGGCACGGACCCTTCTCTCCGATCTGCCCAGCTCTCACACCAGGAGGCGTATCGCGGATCGTGATCGAAGGCCCTGTCTCCACGGGTTTCGAAAGCACACATTTAGGCTCTGATATGCGGTCCTCTGGATGCACAACTGACTCTCTGCCCGCGATCACATTACTGTCGAAAAACCCGAGGACGTCAACGAGGTTAGGCAACTTCACTTCCAATGTCCCTGGTGGGTTGAACACATCAACCAGCGACTTTCGAAACCCCGCGTGGTTGGCCCATCGAAGAGCGACGTGTTTAATGTTTGGTATTCTTTCCCCTCTTCCATTCAGGACCATCGTCAACTCGAAAGTTGCAGACGACACATTTTGTCCAGTCCACCTCACCAGGCCGCCAACCGGCACAATATTGTCTTTGATGACCACGTATAGAACAAGGCTAGTCGATGGTTGTCCGGTCTCCCCCACCCAGTCCAGCATCCAGAACTTGTCATTGTGGTCAATCACGGGCACATCGTCTCGCCGACCCGCGGCAGTTATTTCACCAGACGGTTTACGTTCGCCAGACGGTTTACGTTCTCCAGACAGTTTACGTCCGGGCATAACCTCCACTGCAGATCTCCCCTGCTGCTGACCAGGCACACGTTCTTGACCCGCAGGCCCGCCAGTCATCAACACAGCCTTATCCGGTCCATAGCCCCAAACACGAGTCGACGGAGTCCCCGTGGAAGGTGCACCCCTCGGAACCGGGGTGTGTTGCAGCTTACACCTCGGTGCCTCCTGACTCCCAACCCCAGCGGCCGGCGTCCCCTTTGATTTTTTCGGAGATTGCTCCATGCTCCCAGAATTCTTACTTGCTCGTCGTTTACCTGCCTTCTCCTCTCCTTCCATGTTTTGCAGCGCTGCCGAATCTGAAAGCAACACAGCACATCACCATGAAGCAAAAAATCAGAAGGCCGCACAACGTTGGCATGGCACGAGGAGCAGAAAAGTTTCAGATAGTGACAAGGCAGCGCAGCTCCTTCGTGACAAGGCAGCCCCGATCGTGTTCAATTCGATCGTGATCCTGCGCGTGGTCAACATGATCTTGTTCGTCGCGAGCATGACAGGCCAGCTCGATCGTGTTCGACTCTATCGCCGTTGCTGAGCTCGCCTGAACTCGACCGTAAGTCCAGGCGCTCGTGTGCGTGTCGTATTCAACACGGTCGTTTTCGACTCGAACGTGACTCCAGGCGATCGTGAGTCCAGGCGATCGTGTTCGACTCGATCCCGTTCGACTCGATCGTGAGTCCTAGCGATCGTGTTCGACTCGATCGCGAGTCCAGGCGATCGTGTTCGACTCGAACATGAGTCCAGGCGATCGTGAGTCCAGGCGGTCGTGTTCGATCCGATCGTGAGTCCAGGCAATCGTGTTCGACTCCATCGTGTTCGAATCGATTGTGTTCCACTCGATCGTGTTCGACACGATCGTGTTCGAGTTGATCGCTAGTCCTGGCGAACGTGTTCGACTCGATCGCGAGTCCAGGCGATCGTGTTCGACTCGAACGTGAGTCGAGGCGATCGTTTTCGATCCGATCGTGAGTCCAGGCGATCGTGTTCGTGAGTCCAGGCGATCGTGTTCGATCCGATGGTGAGTCCAGACGATCGTGTTCGACTCCATCGTGTTCGACTCGATCGTGTTCCACTCGATCGTGTTCGAGTCGATCGTGTTCGAGTCGATCGTGTTCAAGTCGATCGCGAGTCCTGGCGAACGTGTTCGACTCGATCACGAGTCCAAGCGATCGTGTTCGACTCGAACGTGAGTCCAGGCGATCGTTTTCGATCCGATCGTGAGTCCAGGCTATCGTGTTCGACTCCATCGTGTTCCACTCGATCGTGTTCGACTCGATCGTGTTCGACTTGATCGTGTTCGAGTCGATCGAGGTTGACTCGATGGAGGTCGACTCGATCGAGTTCGACTCGAACGTGGCGGGCCAGCTTGACAGTTCGACTCGATCGTGCTCGCAAACAGAACACAGGGAAGGGACAGCGTATCCAACAGCAGGCAAACAGAACACGGGAGCGGCGTACCTAAAAGTCACATCAAACAAGGCAGACGAATCGAAAGCTGGCATCGACAATTTCACATCAAACCCATTGCTTCCATAACACACACAATCTCAGTTCACACTCTTGCTGAACAACCCACACTTCTCACACTGTTCATCTTTCGCTGAATAGGGAGCGACGTTACCAACAAGGCACACCAATCAAGGCACATCAATTGGAAGCCTACATCCATTATCAATTCGAGGCATTCAATTGGCAAGGCAGGCAACCAGCACCCGCAATGAGCGACTAACAGTACGCTCCACCGATTACTAACCCCACACACACACACACATAAGGAGAGAGAAAGAGAGAGAGAGGTGTAACCGGCATCGACAAGCTCACATCAAACTCAATGCTCGCACGCATACACAGTCTCAATTGTCACTTTTGCTGATCAACTGAATAGCTGACATGTCCTACACTGTTCATCTCCCATGACCTCCCCCACGACCTCGCCTATCCTTTCGCCCCGAAACCGTACACTGCGCTCACGGATGAACCGTACGTAAGGAGCTGTGGACTACACAGGGTTGCAGTGGCGGAGAAGCAAGACACGTATCGCGCACGGACGAAACCACATGATTTGGATAATGTGTGACCGATGGCGTCTCTAATGACTGTCACGTACTCCTCGACCTCCTCCCAATACCGGGTTGTGTCAACCTGCCCCGCCAGTTTCACGTCAAACTTACAGTTCCTCCAACCATGCGGTAACATAATCGAGTCCCCGTCAACAATGAGCTCGTTCCTGGACACGTAAATACTTACTTCCGCTGAAGTCTTACTTCTATTTCTTACCGAAACACAAAGAACCCTAGCGAAATAGAAACGACAGAGATCAACATGAACGCAAAAGTACGACACACTCCCCGTCAAGTTGTCCTCGAAAGGAAGGGGATATTTTTCCAGAAACTGGTTCTGTTTCGCGCAGTCCAGCAACTCCATCTTCATCGATGGTCCCCACAAGCGCGGCGGACACGACACGTTGTGCGCAGTCAACGACAAAGACAGGTCTCGGGTACGAAATGCCGCAGACAACACCGGCGTGTGTTTCGTCACGAGGATGTGGTCAAGGAAGATGAATATCCCCCATTCCTGGCTGGATGCTAGTCGAAAATCAGACGCCCAAGGGCAGTCTTTCATTGTGTTCGCCCAGTCTAATTCGGACCATGCATCGAAGGGCCTTTCAAACCAGGGCATAACGCTCATCCAGGGGTCCGTGTCGAAGTCTTCTCTACGGGCCCCAAGTATAGTTGTCTCCCGCGGTGAACCTCGTATGTACCTCACGCTAGCATTCAAAGGGAACGAGTAATCGAAGCGGTGAGCCATCGTAAATGTCCTACACACACAAACGATTGACGACCACGACAGGGAGCCATTGCTAAGGTCGAACTCGCTCAAACACCGAGGAGCCATCGCAGTTAGACACAACAACCAGGCATTGCGAATTTCCAAAACAGAAGGAGAAAACACACAGAACGACAAATTCCATCGTCGTGACAAGGTCGATGACGGACAATCGACAAAGCTCAGACGGATGGCCAGAGGCCTTCGCGCTTGCCGAAGGTCGAGTTCGTAGAGCTCGTCTCGTCGACGGCCGACTGCACACTGTCGAGTCGAAGTCGACAGCCGGCCAGCTACAACGCCTCTGGCCATTGTCGAGTCGGACACGACAATGGCCAGCCCGCCGTCGTCGAGTCGAACTCGACGGTTGGACTGTAGGGCGTCGTCGAGTCGAAGTCGACAGTGGCCAGCAGGGGGCCATCGAGTCCAACACGACGGCCGGCAAGCGCCAAAGCCACGGGCCATTGTCGAGTCCGAGTCCGACTCGACAATGGGGCGTCGTCGAGTCGAAGTCAACAGTGTCCAGTACAGCGTCGTCGAGTCGAACACGATGGCCGACAAGTGCCAAAGCCTCCGGCGACTGTCGAGTCCGACCCGACGATGACCCCAGGCCGTCGATGATTTCGTCTCGGCATTGTCGAGACCGACCCGACGATGAACCCAGGTCGTCGAGTCGGACACGATATTGTCGAGACCGACCCTCCGATGGCCCGGGGTCATCATCGAGTCGGACTCGACATTGTCCGGGCTCATCGTCGAGTCGGAATCGATAATGGCCTGTGGTCTTCGTAGTGTCGAACTCGACAATGGCCCGGGGTCATCGTCGAGTCGGACTCGACGTTGGCCTGTGGTCATCGTCGAGTCGAACTCGACAACGGCCTGTGGTCATCGTCGAGTCGAACTCGACAATGGCCTGTGGTCATCGTCGAGTCGAACTCGACAACGGCCTGTGGTCATAGTCGAGTCGAACTCGACAATGGCCCGGGGTCATCGTTGAGTCGGACTCGACAGTGGCCGGAGGCTTTGGTGCTTGCCGGCCGTCGTGTTCGACTCGACGACGCCTTACTGGCCACTGTCGACTTCGACTCGACGACGCCCTACTGGCCGGCCGTCGAGTTCGACTCGATGGCGGCGGGTTGGCCATTATCGAGTCCGACTCGACGATGACCACAGGCCATTGTCGAGTTTCGGCAATGACCACAGGCCGTTGTCGAGTTCGACTCGACAATGACCATAGGCCATTGTCGATTTCGATTCGACAATGACCACAGGCCATTGTCGAGTTCGACTCGACGATGACCACAGGCCAAGGTCGAGTTCGACTCGACGATGACCCCGGGCCATTGTTGAATCGAACTCGACAATGGCCTGGGGTCATCGTCGAGTCCGACTTGACGATGACCCGGCCCATTGTCGACTCCGACTCGACGATGCCCCCGGGCCATTGTCGAGTTCGACTCGACAATGCCCCCGTCGAGTTCGACTCGACGGCGGCCTCTGCATGGGCGGAGATGCCACGTGGCAGCACGTGGTTGATTCACGACGGTTTACCGTTCTCCCAGGCCTCCGCTGCTGCCTTCGATGCGGATGCTCGGAACTTTGCTCCGATGCTGCGTGAACCTCCGATGTGCGAGCGAGATCTCCGTTGCGTTCTGCGCGAGCCTCCGATGTGCGAGTCAGTGCTCCGCCGGCTTCGGACGCTTTGCGAACCTCCGCAACGCTCCTTTGCTCTCGACGAACTTGCAGAAATGGGAAATGGTGGGCCCACAACACTATTTATACTTTATGTGGAAGGCCTGCGAGGGAATGTGGCATGCGGGGTGTGGCTTCGGGACCCGGTGCCTCGGGGGGATGTGCAGCGGGAGCGATGTTTCGAATCCCGGGAAAGTCTGGGCCGTCGATCCGTCGGCTGAGGGCCAGGATCAGGTGCGGGGGAAACCGGTGCCGCGGTGAGAATCGGTGCCCAGCAGGCGACGATTCGAATCCCGGGAAAGTCTGGGCCGTCGATCCGTCGGCTGAGGGCCACAATCGGGTGAGGGGAGAACTGGTGCCGCGGTGGGAGTCGATGCCAAGGGGGGCGACGATTCGACTGCCGGTGTCGTCCGCGACTGTTAAAACGGGCTCCGCAGAAGGATCCAAGGGTCTTTTCCCTTGCGTCGCTCCCCCTGAAAAAAGGCCAGTGCAGTGTCACCTTCGCGTTGACGCGAAAGACAGTTGCGTTGCTCCGCCACGGCAGCTGCATTGCTGCTCCGATTCGTGCCTTCTTTGACCCAGTTGAGTTCGGAATCCTCGCCGCCCCCGCTCCCCCGCCAACCCCGTCTCCCCACCACCACCACCCCCCCCGCCGCCCCGCCAAACCCCCCAATCCCGCCCATCCACTACTGCTATTCGTCATTCGTGGTTTTTTAGGACGTCAACAAAATCTCTCCCGCAGTTCACAGAGCCGTCCATCATTGAGTCCAACACGACGACCGTCGTGTTCGACACGATGACGGGTTGAGCGAGGGCGTGTACGCCACGTGCTGAACATGAACCCACCGTCGTGTTCAATCCGATGATGGTCGCTATCACCGAGTCGAACACGACCTCGGTGGCGACCCCCGACCTCACCGTCGTGTTCAACCCGATGACGGTCGCTGTCATCGTAACGAACATGACCGCAGTGGCAGCCCACAACCCCACGGTCGTGTTCGACTCGGTGACAGCGACCATCATCGGATTGAACACGACGGCGGGGTTATGTTCAGCACATGGCGTGCACGCCCGCGCTCAACCTGTCATCGTGTCGAACACGACGGAGACCTTATAGCAGCAATTCATGTACAGCACGTTCTGAACACGACCCCACCGTCGTGTTCAAACCGATGACGGTCGTTGTCATCGTGTCGAACACGACCGCGGTGGCACCACCCGACCCCACTGTCGTGTTCAAGCTATGACGGTCGTTGTCCTCGTGTCGAAAACGACCGCAGGTCGAGTTCAATACGATGACGGTCGAGCGCAGGCATGTACACCACGTGCTGAACACGACCCCATCGTCGTGTTCAACACGATGACGGTCGCTGTCATCGTGTCGAACACGACCGAGGTGGCACCCCCCGACCCCGCCGTCGTGTTCAATGCGATGACGGTCGCTCTCGTAGTGTTGAAATCGACCACGTTGAATCGCCACCGTGCCGGTGGTAATGTTCAACAGGAGACGGTCGAGCGCGGACATGTTCACCACGAAAGCACCGTCGCGTTCAACAAGCAGGCGGTCGCTCATCATAATCTTCAACACGACGGCGGTTGCGGTGGCTGTCATACAGACACGGGCATCAATCGCGACACGACAACGGTTGAGCGCGGGCATGTTGAGAATACGGTGACGGTGACTCTCGCTGTGTGCGCCTGTCGTGTTGTGCAATGCGATGATGCGTCGTCGTGTTCGACCCGACCGTAGCGGGAGATCATCGCGTTCAACACGACAGCTCGTCGCCGTGTCTCTCGTGCATCGCTTCTGTTGAAGACTGTATTTTTTTCCGCATTCACGGGCCTTACATCGGCTGTGTGTGGCTGGCAGTGGCCGCGCTGAACCACATGTGTTGCACTCTACATATACCGCATGTGATCCATCTAGCTGCGGATTTGTCACTGATATGCATGTCTTGTGCCAGTGGTCCACTGTTTTGTCATCGCAGAAACGTTCTTAATGGCTTGTGGTGGGCATGCACTGCGGCAAGCTGCCAACACAACTTTGGAAAGCATGGACTGTGTGGCATCTAATATACTTCCTAATGATGAGCTTCCTCCGCCGGACCTGCCAATATTTTCG